ATCAGCAGGCAGCATCCTTGCTGGAACGTCTCTCCAAAAGCCCAAGGGTAACTGGATACCTGCGAGGGTAGACTTGATGATGGTATTTGCAGTTGTTTTTTTTTTTTGGGGGGGGGTTGTATGTTACAGGCGATGCACTGCCTTTGTATCGCGATAATTTCGGTGTACCCAATGACCAGGATATTCAGTCTCTAGCCAATGGAGATTCTATCACTCCAAGAAAATATTAATAGTCAGATATATTATGATAATAAAATTGTATTATGACTATTAAAATATTTCTGTATACTTATGTATTGCCTTAATAGATGTACATGTGTTGCCCTTGAAGAAAAAAACTTATACTCTTTATCTAAAAATACAGATTATTTAATCGTGTCTGACTTTTGTATTTAGCCCTAAATTGAAGATCTTTGTACGAAATACATGTATTGTTTTATAAAGCCAGTAAAAATCTGATGAAATCAAGAGAATTGAAGGAGTCCCAGAGCGACATTAAACATTTATATAATTTAGTTAACGTAAGTTTGTCATATTAATTTTGATACTTTGATGAGGAATTTCGATTTAGGAGTAACATTTTCATTCTAAGATGTCCGTTCCTGTTTCTTGGACGTGGCGTTGGTATTTATTGGTTTCTTTGTTCCCAGTACTTCAATTGTCAATATGCAGCTTTTGTGAGTTTTAGCAGCTTTTTTTGTGGCCAATAACCGCCTCGGATCTTTTCGTTTTCTTTGCCTGTGCTGATACCAGCTGAGTCTTTGCAGTTGATTTGTCATCTAGCATTCCCTAGATTTTTTCTTTTCCATTATGAAAATGCCCTGAATAAAACACATGTATTGGACGTATTCAGGAGAACGCACAGAAGACTGATGATTTTACTTCTTGGGTGAGTTTGTTTGCGGTAAAACAAACAATAAATCTTTTTCATGTCAACTGTTGTATACCTTGAGAAGTTCAAGGTAAGATGCCGAGTGCACCAAAACTTGTTCTCACCTGGTGTTTAACTTTAAAGGGCAGTACAGACAAAATTCCCTGTGGTTTGACATTTTTTTGTGTTCAAAAGAATTGAGCAGTGAGAAGCCTATGAGGATTCTGTACAAGTTTATTAAGGATAGGGCAAAAACTGCCAAAGTTTCTTTATCTTTCTGGAAATTTAATGGCAGATATACACAGAAGCAAGTCCGTTGTTTTCTCACTTGAAATTAATTTTTTTACATGTTTGTGCCAGCAGTGTGCAAATGGATTAACAATTTCAGTCAAATTTGATTACTCAGGCCAAAAAGAAAAGCAATTTACGGTTTAACTTGAAGAGAACTAATTTTTCAACCAGATCCAATAATCCTTCCTTTTGACAATCACCTTTACTCCACATCAAACAAACCAACCCTCTTCCCTTAAAAAAAAAGAAAAATTTACATTTCCACGATATACCCAATATCAACAAAGAAAATTCAGAACACTGGTTGCTTACATGGCACATGAGAATGAAACTTGACGTATTACGTAGCTCATCTGTGTCTACACGTATACACAATTTAAAGATGTTATCATTTTACATTCTGTACATAATTATGAGACAGATATTCGGCTTGCAGCCACTTTGGGCTTCTCACTAGCATGGATCATAAAACTTCAGCAATTTGTAGCTTGTACTTGGCTAATTTTTTAAACAAGCAAACAGCTGAAAAGCAGTTCTGTAAGCTGCAGAGCCTGAGGTGTGGCAACTACCGCTTGTCTCAGGAAGCTGACCAACATCACTTGTTTTCAAGGGTTGATGATCTTTCTGTGCAGGTTGCTGACGGATCTACTCTTGCTGAAAGTCCTACAGAGACGACCCGAAACAAAGAAAAAGAGGTGAAATGACTTTCAGAGTTAAATTACGGCTGAAAGGAGCCATTTACACAAAAAAACCTCAGTGATACACTGAGAGAAGAAGTTGCCGTCATTGTGGTGGCATCTTGCTCAGGCAAGCTCATTTATTGTTTGACTTGAAGTGTGTGTACATTTTGGCAAGTCGTAACACCTTATTCGCTCAGAGCCGGAACAAAAGATGGTGCGTTTTTAAACAAAATTGACAGTCCCTTGGTACGCATTCACCGCGTAGCCAAGCAGGTTTAAGGCGCGTGGAGCACGCTGAGTACACGCAACGCATTTGGGTCTGGAAAGTGTGGTCTGCGCGTGCACCCTGAACGCTGAACCAGGTCTTTCTTTCGCCAGTGAGGGCGCACTTCAGCTCAGGGCAGATTGGTTGGAAAGGAATTTAAGGGTTGGTAACTCACGGTATTCTCACAGCCGGTTTGATCATGCTCTCTGTCCTGTGGAGACGCACCGGTCCTCTGAAGCTCAGTGGGGGCTGGTTTTCTTGCGTTGAGTTAAGCCTTTCCCTGTCAAAGTCAACAGAATAACTTTTACTGAATCTTCACAATGCACAGATAAAGCGGATGTGCGACCGAGACTTCAACAAAACACATTTTGTAACACCGGTTTCTCAAATTTTTCCAGGCCCCAAAATTGGCTGGACTAAAGGTACGCACCAAATTCAGAAAAAATCCAAAACAGCTCGAGAGCAGGTGAAGTTTCTGGTACAAAATTCTATGCCCCACCAAAAATAAAAAAGGTAAAAGGACTTGTCCCCCGACTCCAAACAGGTAGGGACTACAAGCTCACCCCTTGGTATGGTTCCTGCGCTTGTTTGCTGCTGACGCTGTCAGTGACATGTATGCTGGTGTGGGTTTTCGCAAACCAAGAGCTGAAAACAAAAAAAAACCTTGATAAAGTAGGCATTGGTACCGGCCAAAAATCTAAGTCGTTGCAGACATATCCCTCCGCTGCATGGATACCATTCTATTTTTAGATTGATTTGCATATGCAGCTGGCTACCCTTTGGCAATTGACTTTAACAGTAAGTAGACGAGCGCCCTCTGTTGGTCCAATATGTGAACAATCGAGCAAAATCATAATACATGTTAATTGTTTTCCCACAGAAAGCAAATTACCGATGAGCATGTGACAATGTCAAGGGCACAGAGAACATCTTTTGGGGCAACGTTCCTACCTGTGGGCTGGTCCGACATCGACGGAAGGCCAAATCGGTGCAGGGTCTCTGCATGCTTTGCCTCGTGGAATGGGAACGTCCGTTCGCCGAGGACTCCTTGGGACTTGCTGCGGCGGTGCAGCGGGGCCATGTGCTTGGTGAATGTGCCTCGGCGCTGACAGCTCCTGGAGTTGAAGACGAAAGCAGATGTTGGTTAAAAAAATTCAACAATTTTGTGAAAAAAAAAAGACAATAAATCCAAGACTAAGAAGTTCGGTTTCAGGGCAATGTACCTTTTTGCCTTTGATGTTGACTGGTTCCCACTGCATTGGTTCTCCGTAGGCCCGTAATTGCTGACTCGATGCTGTGCCTCGCTACGTCTGTCCTGCAGCTGGGGGGAATTGTTTGTCAAGGCAGCGAGGGGAGCCCTCTGTTGGTCCTTTACTTGCAGTCTCTGTGGGGTCGCCAAGGCCTCTGCATAGGACATGACGTGACCTGCAAAAATGTAAATCAGCACAGATCAAAACTGAAGAATTTTTCATCACAAGAACACACTAGCATTACGAGCTTTGCATGCCATGAACATATCACTCAAACTTATTATCCCACTAAGGTGATCCACAGACTTTAGGTTCTATTTTCCAAAGATGAATCTGCAGAAAAACGATTACTGCAAAGGAAGCTGGTTTTAATTTTACAATGATTTACACCTTCACAATTCATTTGAAATGGTAGTTGATTCCAAACAAAACTTCAGAACTATTTAAAATCTGCTATATATGTCCCAAACAGATTTTTCCAGAAGGTCCAAGTCAGTTTGAGACAGCATCGTGGACAGACCTTTACCTGTGACTGGGCTGATCTTCAGGTTTGGCAGAGCATTCTCCGAGTCAAAGGATATCGCCCTGGCAACCGGTTTGTCCGGACCCTGATAGGTGCTGCGATGAGTTGACTCTGAGCCTTCCGTGGAAAATGTGGTGTTGAGGGAGGATGATCCCAGTTGGTCAGTCTCAATTTTGTGCAAATTGTCCATGCTGGCATTGTCGGTAGGCTTTGATTGCATTGTAGCATTGGTGGCCGGGGATTGTAAGGGCGCGACACCCTCCGTTTCAAATGTTTCCGTCAGGTTGCATTTCGGTTCTTCGGCTGTTTGCGACAGAAGATCGGGTTGGTCTGTTTGTTTCTTGGTCACTGTCTGGCCAATGCGCTGTGGCACCCCTGGTCCAAACCTGGTGTTGCAAACGATCGGAGTCCTCCCATTCTCGGTGCTGCGGGTGACAGCGCCCACGCTCGGGGTGTGCCGTACAGCACTGCCAATTGGCTGGAAGATGTCGATGTCGGGGTTTGCATCGCCCCTCCTGGCAAAGGGCGTGGCTGCTCTCGGGGTTTGGGGGCGTGCTGCCATTAAAAAAAAAAACAAAGCAACAAAACAACTGCTTATAGATGCCTTTTTCTGCAAGAAGCTTGTAGTTACATCTCTGCTTGTGCTTTTTATGTTTTATTTCCTGTTGAGAAGTCATCACAGTTTTGGATCACAACAATTCATGCCCAAAGACAAAAGTCTGCATGATTGAATCACACATCACAACCAAGTAACCACTGTGCAACAAATTTGGTACAACTTTTCCACCATTATCCATACCTCGGTCAGCCGTCGGCGATCTGTTTTGCGTTGGCGTCGGCATTCGTTCAAAGAGTACCGGGTTCTGGTTCTTTGATGGTGTGTTCTGGCGTCTGGCCGGAGTACGAGGTGACGACCTCTGCCCCAGATTTTTCCTCGGTGATTTTGAGGGTACTACTGGCATAATGCAGACATTAGGAAACACAGAAAAGAAACTGTACATGGTTTGGAATGAAAACCGCGGACCTTTGTTTTGGGAGCAGGACATTTTAAATGAATTGCGAATTATTAAAGAATAAAGTAAAGTATATTTTCGGTTCGTGGAAAACCACGTATCACTTGCTGTCTGCTGTTCTTTCTCACTGGAATTACTTTGGCCATCATTGCTTTGTGTAAGACGACAGTCACCATATGCACTTTACGTCCAGGGTGGGTTTAAGCAGTACCAAGAGCCGACAGGAGGACGTAATCTTTAGAGTACTTTGAGACTTAGAATTGAAGTTTTGATAGCAGTGTTGAGGATCTTAGGAGCATTAGGGTTTGTGCAATTATTGACACAGCTATCTCATTACCCTTAGGGGTAGTGTCGACACATTTCATGATCGGCAGTTCCAGCAGGTAATTCAGATCCAGATGCTCAGTGACCCCGCTGGGTTTGACCTCTGACCCCTCCGACACGCTCTGGTCGGCCCAGGCAACCTCGCGGTCCCCTTCCACCTGTTTCTGGATGGCTTCAAAATCTGCGGCGACGTCCGAAGTGGCCAAGCCCGATCCCTTCAGTAGGAAGAACTGCCTGCGGACGGTTGCCAGCAGGCTCACGATCAACCTTCATTGCAAGGGAAGATTGAAGTTGATGGAAATAAAATGAGTCACAGGATTGACAGAGAAACAAGAGGATCATAAATAGACACTTTTCAACAACTCCTACTTGAGATAAGAAAAATTTGACAACGGAAATGAGCTTTAAAAAAGTTTTGAAAATATTTGAATAACCACTCAACGGAGTGAATAAGATTTTCAAGACTTAAGAAGACCATTGACATCCTTGGTACAAGCATATGAAGTTTTTAAGTTTTTTACTTCTTTAAAACTGAGCTCAATGAAGTTTGCCGTTCCGCCATTCCACTGAGCCTACAGAATGCTGTGTGACTGTCACAATCAGCGTGATTTTTATTCCAATATTCAAACCAACAAAAAAAGCGCACGTGACTGATTCACAGAATGTGCAACAAAAATCCGAGAGAAAAATTAAACGCCACCCCTGCCCAGCTGTACCTCTCTGAGCTCTGCTGGTGGTTCTCCTGCTGACGGGCAAACCGCTTCAGGTGCTTGATCTGCCGGCGGCAGTCTCTCAGCTCGATCTCAAGGTGTCTGGTCCGCAGACTCTCCTGCAACACCTGGACATGGGCAACAGACAAGACTGTGAACCTCAAGAATTCGTCCTTTTCTATCGAGTATACTCCCACTGGATGGCGGAGTATTTGCAGGCCTGTCCAGACGGGTGATTCACAACAGTGCACGACCAAGAGTATGCAACACGTTGACCAATTACAATGCGTGAAATCAGTCGATGTGCGTTTGGAAAGGATTGACAAATTTCGTGTACTGTGATTGGCCAACGCATTCCAAACTCTTGGTGGGGCACTATTTTGAAACGCCTGTATTGGTATTGTCAGAGCTGCTAGTCGCTATTTGCTCCAAGTGGAAGAAAAGAGAGCCTGTTTTAAGGACTGTCGTTTGGACAAAAGTCAAGCTGAGCATGCTGCACAGGTTCGTGCATATTTACGCACTGATGAGCGCACCCAACCAATTTCAGTTTGAAAGTACGGTCTTTGCTTATTCGTCAGATTCGTGCACAAGCCCAGGTGCGGAACTCTCCACCAAGCTGTTCTTTGCTAGTGAGAGCACATTTCAACCGGATAGAGAAAATTGGAAATGAACTTGACATGCTCTGCGAGGATCAGCTGAGAACCAGTCACGTGCTATTCAACCACATAAACTTTAGCCGATAACCCGGTTTTGCTTAAACATGTCTTATGCAGATTTTTCTATTTGGATCAGTTTCACTAATCGTGGAAGAGGACTTACAGCAGGCATCTCTCCGTCGGCCTTCATTTGACCCTTGACCTTCTCCAGCCACTCCTGGTTGGCACTGATGCGCCCCTCCACAGCCGGCTTGCGTTCTCTGAGCCGTGTCTGCCGGGCATTGGATGCAGCTATATGCCGCTCAAAACGGCCCATTGTCTGCATTGAAACCATGATTGAATTCAATTCAACTTCAAGACCATGAGATATTATTAGCATAACAAAACAATCTTTTAGCGCTAATTTGTTCCAAAGGATGTTGCTGGGGTTTACACGACAGCACTTTATATCACGGGTTTAAATTCGAAACACTTCCTGACCAGATCTCAGCGAGCACTTTCTTATAGGAGCTTAAATAGTTGGACTTCAGGAGAAGACCAGCGCGGTTGTCCATACCTTGTCGCCCTGGGCTGACTCCCCGTAGGCCAGCCGGATTCTCTCCACCATGGTCTGCTTGCGGCTGATCATGACCGTCAGATGTCGGTCCGAGGACTCCAACTCCAAGAGCTCCTTGCGGATGCTGCCTCGCTGAACGAAGACTTTATGCAGCTCCGACTGAAACCTGGAAGAGGAAAAGTCAGGTAATGATGCAAGTTTTTATTTTTACTTTATTACACTTGTCCACTGGCTATTAACCGAAAAATTAAGTACATGTACATTAAAAACATACACGTAAAACAATTGACATGCACAACAGCAAACAGGTAACGGCTGTAAAAAAGAAAATGCCTAAAAAGCCAGGAAATAGCAAGATGGAACTGACTAGTACCTCAACACAGCCATCCTACCACATAACGACCCCCCAAAAAGCAAATATGAGGTGGAAAAGACAGGTACAAAATAAAAAAAAAATAAGAAAAGTGGGAATTTATTAATCCCCAAACTATAAAGGATGCACAACCTTTGAGTTTTGCGGGAACTGAGTACAACTCCTGCTCACACAAGGTCAGTGGTGTTAACATTTTACTCTGATCATTAATGTCCATTTTCTAAATCAGGCAATCCTGAAACCCATTTCAAGTATACTATCTATTAAAGGGGTTGAGCCCCTAAGAAGGGGCTCAACCCCTTTAAATCCCCCCCCCCCACCGGTCCACCAACTACCACCTCTCTTTCCACGAGTGAAAATCAACAAGGGTCACTCTTGTAGCCGGTATGCAGTGATTTGTAATATGTGATATCAGTGTGTGTAAACCAGTGAAGTAAAATCTCTTACTTTTACACAACCGACCCTTTCTCATTTCTAGAAAATACCCGAAGACTTCACATAGCATTTTACTGAAATTCTGGTGGTTAAGAAGTCACCTGTGAATCTCTTCTTCGTTGGCTACGGGTGCGGGCACGGACCGGTCAACTTTGACGACACCCGACTCATATTTCTGCAGCTTCGATTTGAGTTCAGAGACCTGTGTCATGGTACAAGTAGAGTATGTAACCACTTCAGAAAATGATCAGTGAAAATATTTTGGGGAGCAGATCAAGTCCACAAGTGGCAAGACATCCCATAATTCAATTTTTTGTGGTAAGCTGTACAACTACTGAAAACAACATCAACGATTTCAAAATTGTCGACAGAGTTTCAACAGTTTTCTTCAAGAAACTTACTTGAATTTTATTTTTCTCAAACTAAACTGCCAAATCTCTCACCTTCAGCCCTGCCCATCATTGGCATCACGCCACTATTCAGCTTTAAAATGTGCTAGTTCATAAAAGACCCATTCGTCGCACTTGATAACGCTTTCCTTCCCTTATAAAAAGTGTTCCCAATCGCGATACCTCTGTTCGCAGCTCCTCCACAATCTGGGCATAGTGGCTGATGTGCAGGTCCACGTTCACAACGTTCTGTTTCAGCTGCGAACAGAAGAAGGTTGAAATTATTGGACTTGTTACATCAGGTTTTTTTTTCAACCGCAAAGTTGTAGAACCAGTGTTTCAAACACGGCAGAGGGGGAAAATTAAGGTCAGATATCAGATAAATTCTGTTAACCTCACTTGTCCAAACCAACGCGGATGACAGTCTGTGGCCGATGTCGGACCTTGAAAAATGGCACGCTAAATGATGCCTAGAGGCACTTGTGTCAAATATCACTTCTACACATTGTTACTGGGTATCCGTTTCATTAAGAATTCGCCACAGTCTTGCCAAGATCGTGCTTGGCGATCGTCCCCTACCTTGGTCTGTATGTTCTTGGCCCGGCTGGCGTATTTGAGCGTGTTGAGCGTGTCCTCGTAGGTCAAGCCGGATGGACTGATGGCGGCGATCATGACCGTCTGGCAGTTGCCCCCTAGGGAGTCCTTCAGCAGCCTGGTGAGCTTGCTGTTCCGGTAGGGGATGTGCTGACCTTTACTCTGGGAGGAGACACAAAAATAATTTCTTTGGTAACCACCTGCATAGCAAATGGGGGGGGGGAATTTGTCTCCAGAAGGGAAAATAAAAGCTAACACGTACATTTCTCGTACAAAAAGTTGAATAAAAATATCAGAGAGGTAGGTTTTTGCTGCAGGTTTTGCATACACAAACTGACGATACTAGTAAATGCGATATTTCCTGTACCTTGTTTCCGTCAGCCAGGGCGTTGATGCAGTTGCCCAGCGCCAGGAGCGAGCGGTTGATGTTGGCGCCCTCGCGGAAGCGCGCGCCCCGGTTGGTGGTGACGGTGGCCCGCTCTGAGCCGGCCAGGTCGATCAGCGACATCTTGGCGATGCGGAAATTGGTGCTGATGTTGGCCGTCCGGTCCTTCTGCCTGACGAAAACCTGACAAGTGCAAACACAGTGGTAACCAGCGGGACCAATTTCAATGCCAGCTGATAAGCAACATCTGGTTGTGTTTATTCCTTGAGACTGGTGGTACTTGGGCACATAAATTTCCTCAGCAATATTCCCTTCTTTCAATAGAGATAAAAGAGGGCTGTTTGAAGTTACGACCAAAATGTAAGGTGGCTTTCCTGCTGTGTTCAAATTTCATTCCTCACCATTGTCTCTGGGCCAGTTTGTCTCTCAGTCCCTTGTAAAGTTGCAATATTTTTCAGCCGTTCTAAGTTCCAAGAAGGGGCTTTCACTTACCTGGAAGACGGCGTGCGATCTTGAGGACTGGGCGTTGGCGTCTGTGGGGTGTTGTGTCCGGTTGCCGTTGCCAAACTCCAACATGCGGAGGAGCTCCTCCGCACTCCTGGGCTGAAACCGAAAAAATTGATTACGGGTACAATTCCATGTGAATCTTTGCAGGTATGTGTTGCCTACCCCACAGCACGAGCAAAGTTTCAAATTTGAAATCAGTCACTCAAGAAAGCCTATGACAGTTTCTCATCACAAAAGGCTTTCTTTGCTGCGCAGACTTCTTGAATCTTGTGAGGCTTATTTCTGAATTAAGCATCAGCTTCAATTCGACTCTGCTTTGGCCAAGAGCCAGAGATGAAATCAAGGCCCAGATCTCAGTAAAAAGTTTTACCTTGTGAAGTGTCAGTCCACTGACCACGACTCCCTGTTGCGGATCCTCTCTGAGGGCTAGCAGACCAGACGGGGCTAGCAGGTCACGGATGTTTTCATTATACACCTGAAACAAGGGTAGAGGAACAAATCAAATTGACTTTGTACGAGACCATTTCCTCTTTATTGGTAAAGCTTTCTCTAATGATGAACAAAGTTTGAAACGTACCTCGAGATAGGAAACAGCAACGTCGCACAGCTTGTCCTTGGCGATTTCCCCGATCCGTCGGTAGAGGTCCACCATGGTCAGGAAGATGACCCCGGGGTAATCCGGCCCGCCCAGCATAGTGAAGGTCTTGCCAGCCCCCGTGGCTCCATAGGCAAACACTGAAAAGCCATTTAGATACAAGGTAAAAATAACAGCCACACTAAGTGACGTGACATTCGCCAAAAGAACTTTGATATTTTGATAACAGGGTGTCGTGATGTGCCTTTAAACTTGGTGACGAGGCTTCTATCTCCAAATCTATACTTTTTACATTCAACTGCCTTTGAATAAGATCAGGTGACCAAAATGCCTTACAGCATGGCCCAAGGATTGCCAGACAACACCTCGACTTCGGACAAAAAGATATTCACCGGTGTAAATTTGTGGCAGTTTATGGTCGTGGTAGTTTGTGAACACATGAAAAGAAATGCGAGGGAAGATATTATCTCCAAGTTAGGTGTCTCAAAAAGGTTCTTGGGATTACTTGTTCCACTGATTTAGCTTACCACTTGCATTGTAGCCTGCCAGCACGCTGTCCACGATCGTCTTGGTCGTGTTCTCGTAGACATACTGCTGGCTAACTCCTTCTCCGAAGACATGATCAAATGCAAACTTCATATCCTTGTTCTTGCGCTGCATGAAGTTACGTCTGGCCAGGCGGCGACCGTGGAAATAACTCGGAGCGGTGTCCTCCTGAATTGAGGAGAGTTAAAAAGATGTAATCCAAGACACAAAGTTAGTAAGAACTGATCCTTCTGAAAGACATTCGTACACGAATGGTTTTTCTAAATATTGCTTGTTTGAAAATTTAGGCCGTTTCTCAAAGTTAGCCTTACCCGGCTAGGCTCTCCCAAACGTTGGAAGGAAACTTAGGCGAAAAGAAATTTGATTTTACGGAAACGGCCCTCGCAGGCCAATACATGCACACCTTGGGATCAAAGAGCAGGACTTTCTCGTCCAGCATCTGAACTATCGGTCTGGACCCAGACCCACTGTCCAGCTCCGCTGAGCTAGGAGGCCGTATCCGCACCACGACTCGGATGTTGCCATTTTTGGAAGACTCGTTGTTGCTGTTGCCTGATGCTGGCAACACTGTCGTGCGACTGCTCGACGGCCTACCACAACTGCGACTGTTTCTGCGATGGTTGGATGAAGGCATTGTACTTGAGGCGGCTGCTACATTAAGAGGAACTTGCCAAAGAATCTGATTACAATTTCCTCAAGTTAACCTGTGGAAGAAAAACTTACATAAGTTCAAAATACAGGAGAGAAAGAGTACCATAGATCATGGACATCACTGAGGACGAAACATATGAAACTTGTCTAAGTAAGACATGCAAGAAGTGTCTTCTTGACATGTCTGCAATATAAATTTGACATTGGGCATGTGAGGACATGTTAATAACGTTATTAGGCCTGGGCCTACTTTATGATGGCTGACACGGCTAACAAAGTGATTGACCTAGGCCTATGTCACCTGGTTACTCCAGGCATTGATGTCCGTAGGCCCTAGGCAATGCTAGTACCCTTGCAACACTTGCAAAACCCTTTCTAACAGCATGCTTACAGTTAGCCCCACTAGTGTGGCACGGACTCTCACTCCCGATTTATCCTTATCGGGAGTGAGAGTCCGTGCCACACTAGTAGTAGTACTAGTAGTGGGGCTAGCTTACAGTTAATGTACAGTAAGACAGTACCCGACTCAAACGGCAGCAAACACCGACAATATAAATGATTCATTCCTTTTTTATGGCTCCATGATAGACCATGTTAGACCATATACTATAGAGTGCGTGCAACTGCAGTAACTGCAACTAATCACCGGGGCCACCAGCTAACCAGCCACGTACAATGTTCGGCCCTTACTACGCCGCGAGTACGCGGCCTGTGATGACTGATGACACTCAGGGCCGTGTTCGATCGCTTTACGATTCAATTTTTCAACGAATTGAAAATATCATGCCGTAGTACTATACACTCATTGGAAGGATTTTATATATTTCAAGGATATAAGCCCTTACCTCTTCACGATTATCCTTGCTTTTGCCGAACTCTGACGATATTAGTTCCATCAACAAACAGGAAGTAATCTCCTATTTAAATACCCTTTCCTACTTGGCATTCATTCATTCGAAAAATACCGCCTAGTGCGGAGCGCTGATTGGCCTACGGACACACTAGTCATTGTTGATTGGTTAAGCGCTCAGAAGCATTGACTATGGACAGCCAAAGCCATCAAAAATCGTAGTTCAAAAATGATTATCCAGTCTAACTGAAGTGCGCCCTCTCAGGGTAAGAATCAGCAACGTGTGGTTTGGACATCGCGATCGATAGGGGAGCCATCCACCGAAATTCTGTGAAAAAGTGAGCTGAGCCTGGCAGTAAATTTTGCTTTATAAGTTGCTAATTAAGCAGGAACATTCTTTAAAGACAATGGCGTAGACTTATCACTGTCAGGATAGGTTCTCATGTCTTTATAAAATTAATTTTAATTATTTTGCATCCTGTGCATGTTTTGCCTAAAGTGCACGTGCACGACTTTAAGCCTTTACTTTTGCTCTACCTCCATGGTCATACTTAAATTCGAAAAAGAAGAAAACCAATGCACCACTCAATAGCCAGCACAGCATCACGTCTGTATCCTCTTGGGTGAGGCTTTGATGGGCCACACTCGTGGGGCGCCACTGTTCATGTACCTCCCAGTCTCACAATGTCGTCCTTCCTCTCTGATGTGCCCCAAGGCCCCACTCACTTTAGTAGCTGCAGTGTCTGTTGAAACATTTAGTCTTGAGTTCTACCCCCAGAACTGTCTGCCCCATGAGTGGGGCAGACGTCGGACCCCACAGTTCTGGGGGTACATATACTTGAGTTGGTGGCCAAGACTTCACATGCTTAATAATAAAATAATAGACCCAAGCTTTGGTAAGACTCCTAAAGCATGTTGATGATTCTGTGGTTAAGAGGCAATGGACGTTCTTCAAGTTAAAGGCTTAGCCTTACACCAGGGCAAGTCTACTGTGTTATCTGGGTTGATTTTCAAGGATGTGCCAATGTGCCTGCGTTTTTTCCCGCGTGCACACCCAATGGAAAGACACTCCTCAGACATTAAAATTTGTCCGACTTGAACATGACTTTACTGTGCCATTTTCCTTTTGGCAATCCTTTAGCACTGCACATAGCTGCTCATTCGTGCTCATCGTCAGGCGGATCCCAAGAGGCTGCCCATACAAAGCAAAGTCAGCCACTGCTGGTACCCCGAGACATCAAAATGACCAGGAAGCTTCTGTCCCCACCAGTCCTGCTTGTGCATGGGAGGAGGCCGTTGTCTCTTGCTGCGGCATTGTTGCGTCCCAGAGGCATCAGAAGAACTGGTAAGTCACAGGGAGTATTGATGACCGAAGTGTGCAGCCATTTTGAACCAAAAAGCTTAGTGCAAACCGAATGGAGTATGCTTGTGTGTTGGTTGATTCGCTGGTTCTGGCACTTGCTAATGCCTTTGACACAAGTTTATCGTTGTGCGCGTGACTTATTCACTTTGGCACTCCATAGAGGTTACGCTGGTGCCCTCAAGGCTGTTCTTTGTTTTAATTTCATTACGATGATTGTGCACATGCCGTAGTTTACTTGACCCTGTCCTAGTGATGCAAAGCCCTTGCCCTCCAATTCCACCTTGGTAATAACCTCTATTCAAAGTTGAAATTGTGCGTCACTACAAAGTACACCAGGCNAACCCATAATACACCCTATTCACATGGAGGCCATTTTTGATCTTATTCCCCAAATCTGTTTTACATAGTGCAAACCGTTAATTAGGATGGCACCAGACTGTTTTATACTTCCGTGCGTTCCAAGCCTCCCTTTAAATAATTTTCAGAATCTGGCACTGTACAATTCTTTGTCTCAATAATGAATTTGAAATAATTCAATAGAGTAGAGAGGAGTAAATTTGTCATGAAATTTCATTTTATTGCTTTTGTTTGTACTCTCAACATTCAAAAATGAAGAATGAACCTCGCTTTCAAATTCAATATGGCTGACCCCGTGATTAAAGTCTGTTATGCCTCTTGGCATTTCATTTTCTTTCTTACAGCATCTATAAAGTATAGAATTAAATGTTTATAAACTTTGAGTAACAAAGGTAGCATCGGTCATTTAGCATCGTTCATTTGATATTTCATAACCTTCTGACATCTTCCTATTCTTTTGACGTAACACTTTCAAGGGCATCAAGCTCCTTTATAAAGTGTTCCTCAATCCTACAGAATCCTCCCAAATTAACTGATGAATTTGCAAGGATCTGGGATAACTAGAAACTTTGATTTTGAAGAGATTCCGTTTGGGCCGCAAGGTTTTTAGTTTCATTCTTTTTTGTTAACCAGGAAGTCTTCAAATGAAAGAGGAGCAACACGATGAAGATGACTCTACTCCGAGTCATATTCCTGTCATGAAGGAGGAGATCCTTGAAGCATTATCTCCTCAAGACAACCAGGTACTTCATGTCTCTACACTGCAATGCTTCAGTGCAAGAACATTTTTAAACGTACATTTGAGACCATGCTCACCATCGTTCTGTTGTGACACGAACTACAAGCTGGTCATATTTGTCCCTCCGACTGGGTTGGAAGTGTCGTTCAGCATACACACGTTGGCTGTCCCTGTTAACCACTACCAGCCGGGGACTCCGGGATCGGAGCCGTATGGTTTATATGTGTGGCCGGGGTCTCTGAACTCGGACAAAGGAAACAGGGCCCTGTAACAAAAGACCATACNCACCCATAATACACCCTATTCACATGGAGGCCATTTTTTATCTTATTCCCCAAATCTGTTTTACATATTGCAAACCGTTGATTAGGATGGCACCAGACTGTTTTATACTTCCGTGCTTTCCAAGCCTCCCTTTCAATAATTTTCAGAATCTGGCAGTGTATAATTCTACATGTATGTCTCAATAATGAATTTGAAATTATTCATCATAGTAGACTGGAGCAAATTTGTCATGAAATTTCATTTTAATGCTTTTGTTTGTACTCTCAACATTCAAAAATGAAGAATTAACCTCGCTTTCAAATTCAATTTGGCCGGCCCCGTGAATAAAGCCTATTATGCTTCTTGACATTTTATTTTATTTCTTACAGCGACTATAAAGTATAAAATTAAATGTTTATAAACTTGGAGTAACAAAGGTAGCATCGGTCATTTGATATTTCATAACCTTCTGACATCTTCCTATTCTTTTGACGTAACACTTTCAAGGGCATCAAGCTCCTTTATAAAGTGTTCCTCAATCCTACAGAATCCTCCAAAATTAACTGATGAATTTGCAAGGATCTGGGATAACTAGAAACTTTGATTTTGAAGAGATTCCGTTTGGGCCGCAAGGTTTTTAGTTTCATTCTTTTTTGTTAACCAGGAAGTCTTCAAATGAAAGAGGAGCAACACGATGAAGATGACTCTACTCCGAGTCATATTCCTGTCATGAAGGAGGAGATCCTTGAAGCATTATCTCCTCAAGACACCCAGGTACTTCATGTCTCTACACTGCATTGCTTCAGTGGGTTGGAAGTGTTGTTCAGCATACACACGTTGGCTGTCCCTGTTAATGTGAATTTTTCATCAGCTGAAGTAATCAATAACCAAACTAAAAATCTGGCATTCTGCCAGGCGGCATAAAAGTGCCAGTCTTTGAATTATACAGTCTCGAAGTCTTTGCGGAATGATTGAAGGCTGACAACTTGAGGCATGTGGGAAAATGCCATTCCTTTTTGAGAGATAGAGACAGTGTGTTCATTACTTTTTCCCAATTTTCCTCAGGTCTTTATAGATATGACCTTTGGAGCAGGTGGTCACACGAGGGCGCTTCTTGATCACGGTGCTGGCACTGCGCGGGTATATGCATTAGACAGAGATCCAGCAGCAAACACGTTGGCCCAGAATATGGCCAAGAAATATGAGTGAGTGTTTCTCGTATTGAAAAAAAATCACATCAGGAAACCTGAATACTTTTAAAAGCCCCTTTGAGTTTTCGAGCCCTATGCACATGTTTTTAAGGATTTGGTGTTTGAGTGGGGGGTCTTGAATGGAACTCAGTCGATGAGCATCTTCAACTTAGTTGACAGCCTTCTTAAAGATCTTGTTACTGTCAAGCAGAAAGCATATTGATCAGAAACTTTATTTCATTGATTTCAGAAGACCTTGTGATATGATTGTGTGAATACGTGTAATTGCATATACCTTTTGTCCAAATGCAGTGGGAGACTATGTCCACTGCTTGGTCGCTTCAGCGAGCTGGAGAGACTTCTCCAGGGTGAGGGTCTAGGCACTGACTCAGTTGATGGGATTCTCATTGATGCTGGGTGCTCCTCTCTCCAGTTTGACACCGCTGAACGAGGATTTTCTGTCTCCAAGGATGGGCCGTTAGACATGCGAATGGATGGCAACAGGTAAATTGGATGTGGTTTTTGTGTCTAATGGCTAATTTGTTCAAAACTTCAATTTGGTTTTAAAAGAATCAATTTGAAAAGTCGAAGCACTTTTTTCCAGCCTGTAGGAGTCTTAATATTGTGTTTACACTGAGCCAGTAAAATATATTCAGCTTCTGGTTTTGAAGTAAAGGAATTTGCATTTCTGTATAATCATTTTCTTTCATTTCATCAAGTCATTCTTCACTCTGCGCCTAGGTTTCCATCCCAACCGACAGCAGCTGAGGTCGTGAACTCCCTGGATGCTGCAACGCTGGCCAAGATCTTCAAGACCTACGGGGAAGAGCCCCAGGCCAGAAGGATTGCGGCAGCCATCATGGAGTACCGCCAGAAGTACCAGCCCATTGCGACCACCCTGGAGCTGTCCACCGTCGTCTCCTGTGCTTTCACACACACCGAGTCGCGCCGGAGTAAGGACAAGCTGGGCCGGCCGGCCCACGTGGCGACCAAGACCTTCCAGGGGCTGAGGATCTTCGTCAACAACGAGCTGAATGAGCTGAGCGCCGGCCTGGAAGCTGCGGGGAAGCTCCTGAGACCTGGAGGGAGACTCGCCGTCCTGTCCTTCCACTCGCTGGAGGACCGCATCGTCAAGAGGTTCTTCCAGGGACGAGAGGTGAACGAAAGAGGCAAGAGCATACACCAGCAACACAGGGAGCAACTCCCAAGGGACCTTTCAAATGCAGCATCTGAAAACTGCGAAGAATCAAGACTGTGGGATCCAGTAAATAGGAACAAGGTTATTCTGCCAAGCGAGGAAGAAATTGAAGAAAACCCAAGATCAAGATCAGCAAAGCTGAGAATTGCTGTAAAACTCTGATTGCTGGATGATGCCAATTCCACAAAAGGCAAAGAACTGAGGACTTACATTATGAATAAATATTAGACATTTTTTTCTCTCAAGCCGAAAACAGTTGATTTGTAATACCTTTTTTTCCCTTGCCAAATTGAGATTTACATTTTTTTCTCTCAATGTATACCACTTGAATGTTTAATAGTCATGTTAGTTAATAAAACTTTCTGACAGGTCTGATGTTGTAGAATTTTCAATCATAGACAAAAGTGACCATTCATCACCGTTTACCATTCCTTAGGGGTTGAGAATTTTAAGTTCAAGTCTCAGATATTTGCAGACATATTGACTGTAATATTGGTGACCCCTATCTCACTGGGGTTGCAAGTCAGCAAATAAGCCTCAGATTGCCTGTTTGTACCAAATTACAGTTTTTTGCATGCTATTGAATAACTGTCATTTGTGCATTTTGTGTTGTGTACATGGACTGGATGGTTTGTGAGGATGGAAGCTACCAGCAGGACTGCCAGCTTGTATATCTGAAAATATTTGACAAAACGGGGACCTCCCAGTTGCTTTATTTGGCAATGGAGTTTGGGCATCAACTTTCAAAATGGCAGTGAGTTTGCAGACTCTTTCTAGGGCTGATCCTCTCTGGATGGAATTATCTACAAAAGCCGCCCGTTAAGCGACTGAAAACTGAATGGAAAGTGAAAGATGAAGAAATCAGCTTTAATTTGACATGGGTCCTGGACACCTGAGAAATCTGCGAGCCTTTTTCCTGTTTTTTTTTTTTAAGTGGGTGTACATAGTATGCATGCAGGGCAGGACCATTGTTCTTGTAAGGGCAAGACAATTTCTCATTTGCGAAAGGCACTTGTATTAGAAAATCAACTTGTCTATGGCAAAGTTTCAATGGGCATCGAGGCAAAGACCAGGGGCATCAAGGCAACTGCCTCCGATGCCTCTGTGAAGTTCCTGCCCTGCATTATGGCTCCTCATTTACTGGTCTGCAGGAGACTATTATGTTGCAAGAGCCAGATGTTGACTTTGAATAGCGCCCCCTGTTGTTTGAAGAGCACTGCTTTGCAGTGCTGCACAAAAAGAATATCTGTTATGAATTTGAAATTCAGCACCCTAATTTAATAGAAGGCATTGCTCCACTCCCATGAGACTCCTAAACAAGTGGGGATAGAGCTAAAAAAACTAGATATTTATTGGTTAGTTGGGGGGAGGGATTAAGGTTTTGTTGGAGGGGATGGGGTACTTTTGGGGATGTGAAAACCCAAAATGATCAACTTTTTTTTGTTTTTGTGGAGTGGGGAGGTGTTAAGGGTTGGCGGAGTGATCAAACCAGGTGATATGTGTATTTAGAGGAATTATTGGAAGACTAACACCCATTTTTTTCATTTAAACTGCTTCCCAAAACAGTTTAAGTCCAAGTGGGTAGTACTTTGTACATGCAGATTTTCAAATGTTGCTTAAAAATCCATTTAAATATCAGTATGTTATATCTTTGATTAAATCAAATATCGGGGTGCTGAAATTGTACCATGTTCCACTTTTTCATTAAGATGTGGTATTTTGTTTGTTTTTTTCAAAGTTCACAATTTCCCCCAATGACATTTCCCTGTCAAACTGCTGCTGCAACATTCGTTGTCATTAACGGGCTCCGTCTGCTCACGGAAGCCACAAATTTACCTCCTTGAAAATATCAAACAATGTGAGCAGTTCTCATTCAGTGTATGTAGAAATTGACACATTCTGTAAAAAGTGGTACAAAAATGTTATCAGTGATAGCAACTGGGTGTCAGTATAATTGCGAGAATTTCATCGTGGAAATTAAGATAAGCGCGAATCCCTTTAAACGGATTCCAATGGAATAAACGTGAATGGCTTTTGTTAAAGAGATGTCAGTGCACGGTCACAGCAATGACGGCACGATGACTGTGGGCAATCAAATTACCTGCTTGAGATAACATAGTTCCGAAAAATTGGAATCGATTTTATTATTCGAATGTTAGTGTAGTACACAACGAAAAATCCGCTATGGATATCGATACTGATGTAGCCGATCCTAGAAAAAAATTATCGGAATCTTCGTTCTAGTTACATTATTTAATGAAGGCACGATCTCTGACAAGTGACGGGGAAAGACAGTGCAAGAATGTGGTAAGAGTTACGGTATTTCCTGTCTCTTTAATCTTCAACAAGATGACTTTCAAAAACACGTGGAGGAAGTCCGTAATGAGGATTGACTCTAACGCTAGTTTACGTTTCTTTTATGTACAAATTCGGACTTTTAAAAGATGTGTCATGAGAGAGTGTGGCGCGGCGACGGTGCCAGCAGCAGATGTAACTTGACTGAGATTGACCAGGTCGCCCCACGTGTGTCTACGGCGTTATTCGCCCCGTTCTAATCGAATAAGGTCGTGCACTGACCGTGGACCTCTGCTTTTCTTTGGCCTAGTTGCAGTCAGATACCCACGTTCTGATGTGTACAGATTGAATAATGTGACACTAGGCCTCTGATCATAAGTCAGGAGGTTTTTGTTTTAAAATTTCTCCTTGGAAAGAAACTAACTTAATTTGTAGATTCGGGGACCCTGTTCCTACTCCTACCGGTAGGCTATGGTGTTCATCTGAAGTTAGCACCCTGTTCAGTGTAACTAGGCATGCTACACTAAAACTAAAAGGAGGACAGTTAATGATTACCCATAGGAGAACAGTTGGGGTTCATTACCTTTAGCACCCTGTTCCTATCATAACATGTATAAAATAAGGTAACAAATTCTACTTTTTCAAAACAACTTATCCAGGCGTAAACAAGTTGTTGGTGATGTCCTCTTTCATATAAGAAAGAAAAGCGAACAGGGATTTTGGTTTTGAGGGAAATTTTTGGGTAAAACAGCAGCGTACATGACGCCCTGAAGAGCTGTGAATGACAAATTAGCGAACGTAGTCTGGTTCCTTGACGTGGATGGAGATTTGTTTTGATGAATCCAAAATGTCTGAGTTGGGTAACCAGATGAAAAACAAAATAGCGTATTTCGATCAAGGGGTTGTCTTTTGCCAAACTCGGGTTAGAAATTTGAAGTTTTCTTGCTTAGATATTGTCAAAATTACCTAAACTGGGCCTATCAGGATTGAGTAATGGTTTCTTAAGGTCAAAAGTTAGTTAGTTTGAGAAAGTGGACTCTGTTTCCTTATTATAGGAACAGGGTGCTAATGGTAATGAACCCCAAACAGTTAACGATTGCTTATTCTAATACAGATTTATTCATAACACTTACAATGTAACCACTAATCCATTTGGCTTACATGTTCCAGAACGCTGGACTTGATCAGCTGCTTATACACATTCCATGGAGCCGGGTAGATGTAACCCAACGAGGCTTTGTTTCCAGGATACCTTCTAGATGTACATACATGTATAACAGGCTCCATGGAACGTGTGATGTGTTTGGCACACCAACATTAAGTGTATTTCATTGACGGGCTAACAAATGTGTGTTGAACACGTAGGGCCTTTTATGCAGCTGTGGTAGATTCCATCTCATTCACGCTTTTTATGTACATACCAATCTTTTACAATGCTTACAGTTTTTAATGATGTTATTTTATTTACTGGTTTTTAAATGCTTTTTAATTCTTATTTAAATACCTAAAACCTGCCATACTCCAACAGCAGGTTGTGTGAGGTTTTGGCAGGTTTGGTACCGTACCTGAGGAACTTGTTGAATTTTGTGTGAGTTGGGACATACACGGGTCATTGTGTGCAGTGTCTGGCTTGCTGTACCAATTGTTGGACTATGCTTGATTTTGTCAGGTTTGGTAATGTTCAGTGCAAGTCATCCTATACTGCATAGACCCATCCATACCATATCACTCAAACACTAACGGGCTCATTCTGTTGGAGTTTATCAGGTTTGGTATACTAACCTGTATGTACAAGTACATAGACAAGTACATGAACCTGTTGGATTTTGTGAGGTTCAGTATGCTTTCTAGTGCAGGAGCCTAGGGGGTTAGGGTTAAGGTACAATTCATTACTCAATCTTAAAACTAGGCCTCGTGTAGGTAAATGTTGACAATATTTAAGCTAGAAAAACACAAATTTCTAAGCCTTTTTGTTCCGAAAAAGTAGAATTTGTTCCTTTATTATAAGAACAGGGTGCCAACACCATTCCTGTAATGGGAGAGCTACCCGGAACATTTCAACTTTTGAATTAAAAAAAACTGGGGGGTCCCCAAGTATGCAATCCCCAGAAACTAGAGCAAGTCAGGACAGTAGACCTAGGCTTGTTGTAGCCAATTTTGGCATTTAGGGCTACATATAGGTCTAGGCCCTAAGTAAAAATAATTTTTAAATTCGCATCAGTGGAACAAAATCAGGAAAGAATTCCATATACATATATTTACCCCACTTATTTTTCCCTGCAGTGACTTATTTTGTACATGTATCCATCTTTGAGCAAAAACATGTTTTAAAAAGTCAAATTTAGCTTTGAAAATTTACAGGTTTTCTCCTAGGGCCTAATGTGCCTGACGGTATAGTTACCAAGTCCCTTACTTTGCCACTTACTGTGAAAACCAATGAGAATCGACAATAGGTGGCAAAATTAGGGACCTGGCGACAAAATGGTCACACACGTTACTCCGGAAAGACTAAGAAATTTTGCAGACCCTTCTCATAGGGTTTGCACTCTACCTCTGGTGTTAAGAAGCATCTGTATGGAACTCATTCTAAAAGGTGGTTGGAAGGGAATTTATATTTTATTTGCTATAAATATGACTTCACAGCCGAGGTACATATGCATATATGCATATGTAACTCGGCTGTGAAGTCGTATACATGTATATTAACATGATTGAGGGCCTCAACATATAACTTGTACTGTATGGTGCTCAGAGCCTTGTTGTATCGATACCACATCAACCCATCATGGTTCCCGACTAGGCCATTACAATGATTTTGTACCGGTACGTGCATGGCATCAGCGTAATTCATGTAAACAAATTGGAAGCCACGATTGGAAAAAGTTCACCATTACATGTACATGTACTTCATACCCTATTCCACAACTCTGTGAGACCGGCCTGAAAAATTGCGAACCTGTTTTTGGTGTAAGGGCTTCAGCATTTTCCCTGCCACGGTAAATTCTTTATTACACGTTCCGGTACGTACTCCTGTAAATTAGAGATGCCTGGTTTATTGACCGTGGATATTGAACAGTGAACCGGTTTGTGATTAGGTTTGCGACCGGTACCGGTATTTCTAACGCAGAACTGAATATACACGGTTAACAAGTAGCCTGTGGTTGGGACTCGATCATTTTTACCACGACAAATACGCTGTACCTCTGTTACCTCCGTGTCATTGTGAATTCCTATTGAAGAAATGGGATTTAGCCCAAGTGAAATTCAGACCTGATTTCCCCGTCGAAATATTCTTCGGAGCCATGACGGCAAAGTGCAAACAAAATTGCAATTGGATGCAGGGTTACGAGTTAAAGCAAAGGATGTTATCGTCAATTTTTGGATGGGACAATTTGAAAAATTGTGCAACCATTGGAAATTGAAAACTTTTGCATGTATTCTTAACCACTAGATCCTGCATTCACTCAGTATAGGTGAGACGTTGCATATCTTTATTCTTTTGGAGTGCTTGCATGGTGCGTCATGACAGAGGGCAGTTTTTGAAGTACAGGTACATTCAAGGACGAAATACGGTATAAGGTGTCCACTCAGGCTCTTGACATTGGAACAATAGCCATCCGTTCATGATGTTCACTCGTGGCCCAGCGCCCAAACAGGGCGCTGGGAAGGGCTGATGGCTTTGCACTGTAACTGGTTACATTGTACATGACCTGTGACGGTGAGGTCAGCACTTCCTGTTAGCAAGCGTTTTTTTCAATTGAAATTTTTAGTTTGCCAATGGCGATGCTTTGACACGGGCAAAGTGTCAGCTATAATAAGCATGCATGTACAGCTTTGGCACAATCACAGTGTGGTAAGTTGTCTTCTCACTAAGAATCACTGATCGCGTGTCTTTGGGCGATACATCTCAAATCACTGGTTATCTTGATCACTTTTGGATGAGCGAATATAGTGTCGTGAGAATATTTTCAGCCGTGAGGAAGAAAAAGAAAAAAAAATATCGATAACCGCCGCTTGTGCCACGCATTGAGCCTGCTAGCGCGCCGGGCAGAAATTCACCGGTAATGCTGTACGCGTCGTTAGCTGCGACACCGTGCGATGTACCAGTACATGTATTTCCTTCGCTAAAATCTATGCAGGGCCCTCAGCCGTTACCAGCACCCTGTTCGGGCACTGGGTGATAAGTAAATTCATGATGATGCCCTGTGCAAGCACTCTGTATAGATACAGTGGAACGTTGCTGTACCTATGTAACACCGCTATAACGAACATTCGACTGTGCCGAACAACGCCCTTGGCTCCCAATATTTTGTGCACAAAACCTACCGAACATTATGCGGTTGCAAATCAACCGAGATTCGCCACAGCATGCATCAGAAATCGATCCTGAGCTGTAGCCTCACGACTTTTACATGTAGGATAAACTGAATATCAATTTTTGTACCTCAAGATTTGAAAAAAAAAAAAAATTAACAGATACATTTCTAGAAACCTCAAACGTGAATGCAACGGCAAAACATCACGAAAACAGCAAACCATAGTATCACAAGAGGGTGCACTTCGGTTAGACAAGAGAGGAGGTTACTCAACATGGCAATGAAACGTTCAGCAGTTAATTTTGCTATACCGAATGACCGCTGTACTGAACATTTAGCGTGGACCCCGTCGTGTTCAGTAGAGCGGTGTCCCACTGTACATGGATGCTGTTGACTGACTTATGAATTTATGCTTTTTTAAGGGCACTGTAACCGTACAATGTGAGTGCCATTGTGTGGAAAAAAATGTTGGACTGCTTCACAACAACAAAAAATCACACAAAAATTACCTCAGAACATTGTTTCACATGACCTGAAAATCTTGGATGTGCATTATTGCTCAAGTGCACATGGCCTTTATGAAATGAGGATACCCGTACAGTGACTTGGACTACACAGTTTTTTTTTCATCTTTGTAAAGTGGCATGTGTGCTTTTAACTCGTGGCAAGTAACGGGAAACTGAAAGTGAAAGAATCTTTTTAACTGTGTGATTAATTTTGATGTATAATTTCCTCTGTATGGTACATGTAGGTCAGCGTAACACAGCAAAGTTAAGTAAAAAAGGAAACAAAGCATAAAACCTTGTGCACCATGCCGAAACCAGCTGAGGCATTATTCAGAGTAATATGGAAGGGTTGCATAGCACCGTGATCAGAATAACAACAAGAATATAATATCAAATCAGTACTCTGAAATATGTGATTGCAGTCTGCTTGCCCTGAAGAAGGTACTCAGTTACCGAAAGCTCGGCAATCACCTATTTCAGAGCACTGATTTGACATTATATTCTTGTCGTTATTCTGAGGAATTATTCATCTGTTTTGGTGAAAATGATACCAACATACACGTGAACACTGGAAACTCGGCAGCTTTGATCAGTGCCCATAACTGCCAAAGCTTTTTGCTGGCACAATCTCACTTTTAATCACTTTGAAGTGTAAGATTTCAAGAGTGGGGGGGGGAGGAGTTGTCTACCGGTATCTGCAAAGTTACATGCACATGGTTTTGGAATGGTGGGCCACAAACAGTTGCATTGACTTTTGTTTGGAAAGGACTCACATATCCGTAGCAACCCTAATATGGAACTATCCCTCCCTCGATCTTCAGCCCTTCCAGCGTCCTCCTCTAAGTATTTTGCATCTAAGTTAGAGCTGTGTTATAGGAACGACTCCGCTACAAGACATCCACTGACAGCTGGCCGCTGCTGATGACAGCTGGTCCCCCGTGGTGACGAGGAATGGCCTGAAAATTAATATCAACGCGATGACATTTTTCTTCTGTTTTTTTTTTTTCACAAAGGTGCTTGCATACACCGGTATATGTAACTAAGAGAGAGAGAGACAAGAGCATTGCTGGCTAGCTTAATTGGTAGCCAGAGACACCATCTGTCCTCAACTAACGGTGGCTGGATTTGTTTCTTTTGGGGTTTTATTTTTTTGGTGTTTGGTTCTTGTCACCTGCATTGGTTTTGAAGAGCGGGGCTAAATCAATCGAGGTCAGGAAAATTGGAGTGCCAGGGCATGACCTCCATTGCCTTGGTTTTTGCCTGTCTTGTCTCAGCCTCTCATAAAATGATTCTGGTGGGCATTCTAATAACTTTTAAAAAGTATGGTATCTTTAAAAATTTGATTGTGCTTCACAAATGCAAGTAATGTTTACACGAATTATTTATACCCACAAAATCTGTGGAAATAATGTCAGAACAAAATAACCACCCATGTCCATGTGTCTGTAGTGGCATAGTCCCTTAATATGAATGTAAAAAAGTTCTCAACAGTTGGAGAAAAGCATTTTGTCCGAAAATGTACCTAGGAGCAGTGAACACAGAACAGCACAGAGTTTAAAACCCAAGTGTCAATCCAGGTTACAAAATTTCTGTCCCTTTTTTTTTTCTTTTGGGTTGACTTGCATGTATACATTATGTACATGTAGGCACTCTGGGCTTGGATGCCTATTTACCGAGCCTTTTTTGAGGACAGGTACCGGTATATGTACGGGTACCAGTGTTTTTCTGCGTAGTGTTGCAATCTTTCCTATATGTAGAACTTGCTAAATTTTACAATGTCGTTGTGTTCTTCAGAATTTAAGAAACAGCCCTTGCCCCTCCAACACAGAGATGAAAAGTCCTGTAATCCAGAAATTCAAGGTCTGCTGTGGGCAGTGTCTGCAGGCACATTTTTTTGTACCCCACACAGTGCCCTGGACACATGCCCGGGGGGGCGCCTCTTCATCAAAACACAGTCAGGTTTGCCGTTTGGACAAAGGGAAGCTAAGCCCTTTCTATCCCACCCTACCTCTCCCCGTCAAACCAAGCTTTGTGTCGCGCTGTCAGCCACAGCATTACAATTACATAAACAGGCTCTCGTAGATTCATGTGCGTCCGGCAATGAGACAGAGTGAAAAATGGGCATGGCCGAGCAATCTCTCACCCCAGACTTTGCTTTGTACTCACATTGTCTGCCCGCTGTCAAAAAAAGGGAGAAAAAAAGTCTGCCTAACAAAGGAACGAAGGGGGAAAAAAAAGATTTACAGGAAAAAAAAATTGTTCCAGTGTTTGTTGTGAAGTGGTTGATTTTGGTCAAGCTTGGCTGCACTGTGCTCGGCTGCGGGGACATGTGAAAACCATCAGCATCAAGGGTTCAGTGGGTCCAGGACTCCGTCAGGAGGGAATAATTAATGTGTCATGCTTGATTGAGTGACAACCATTCAGCCTGAACTGGATATCAAAATGGCCAAGTTCTTGGTATGCCTATTTATAATGCACAAACCATCAATTTTTTGGTACATGCATGTACCGGTATAGAAAAACTACATATACATACATGTACATGTACGCTATGTTGTACTTATTATAAGTTAAAGAGCACCTCTCTTCATGCCAAATAATGCATCTAGCCATTGTTCGATGTTACAAAGACTCGGTTACAAATTGTACCCCAACCTCATGGGATGACCCCCATACAGGTACTAAGCACAAACGCATTGCTGTGTACTGTACATGACACTCCACCTACCATGAACATGTACATGTACATGTAAGTAATGCACATGTTCATGTACAGTTTGCATACTCATGTACATGTACATGTACAGGTAAACTGGAGATGTTCACTTGACCAGGAGACTTTGTGAAAGCTGTTTTCACTTCTCCAACATTCCATGCATTCTGAAGATACCCATGTGTTGGCCAGGATGTGTATTTGATTAGAAGGGCTTTCCTGTCAGAGTGTTTAAGTGGTCGAGTTACTCACGGGGATAAAGATGCAATGAAAATAACACAGATTAGTGTACTAGAAAGTGCATGTACATCTCTGCCCAAACTGGACAGAATGATTAGGATTAGTAACAAATCAGGAGTAGTATTTTTACCTGTTGTCGATTATGCAGATACACGCTTGTAAAATTGTGCCGAGGGTCAGGACTCTCTTCCTGGAGAGAAGTTGTACAGATTCAAAGGGGATTGAAAAGTAGGCTTCCCAAACTTTGTTAAATCCTGCATGTGCCTGTACCTCGGCTCTGTGGGGACCTGCAAGAGTTGTCCACAAGCCACTACTGTGCGATAAACACGTTCCGCGTTCTTGAACTTGATCACAGTTTTGACACTGAACAAAACTGCTAGTGAAGTTGGCTGGTCTGTCATTATCCTGACAGTCGAAACTGTGAAAATGCGGCCAGACTAGATTCGTGAGATGTGTGAGAATCAGTATGCGCTGCATGTGCAGTACAGTAGGCCACTTGTGGAGATTCATGGTACGGTACCTTTTCGACAAAAAATGTCAAATACCGTGGATGGAATTGCACAGCGGATGCTTCAGTAAAAATGAGCATAGTCTTCTCTGTATGGAAATCACACGGTCATCTTAAAAAGTTGTGCTTATTCCATTGAATGGACATCATTTTCCCATTTCTTCCACAGATGAGAGTCGCCATGTTGCGGATGTTCTGATCGATCAATCGACCCTCAAGGACCGCACGCCAAATTGAGACATAACCTTTTTTTTTTTCGTCGTTGATGTGGAAGGTAAAAAAGTGGCTGGCAAGATGTCGAGCACGTCCACGCTGGCCAGCGATGCCACCCAGATGTTGGCAGCGGCCCTCGAACAGATGGACGACATCATCGCGGGTGAGTCCGGGTGGAAATATTTGGACACGGGGAGAGATAAACAAACAAGATAAACGCAGGGATTGTGCAAAGATATTTGATGATATCTGCTGCTTGTTACACTCATTCAAACCCCGTCGGCTTTCCTGCAGCCAGCTTTCCTAAATCTTCTCAAATTGTCTACCCTGCAAGATATCAATGTTGCATTCTTTGCAAATCAATAGTTGCCGGGCTCTACTTCCCCTGTCAGGCTTTTTCCATCATTTCTCTCCTTCCCTGGAACAATGGAACACTAATCCCAAGCCCGTGGGTGTGGGGGGGAGTTCTGAATAGTGGCCCAGAACTGTGGAGCCAGGACCCCGACCCTGTGCCCTGAAGAAAGACATAAACCGTCAGCGAGTACAGCGAGTGTGGGGCTATATCACACCCACAGACTGAGCATGGCCATTGTGGAGTGGTTTGGTGTACATGTGGGACGTACATGTAGCATGTTTACATAGCCTCTACTTGTGTGACATAAGTGCAGTTTACTTCGGGGAGTATAATAATGTGCAATATACATGTACTGTACAAAGGAACACATGTTCAAGGCAGTATTTGAATGATGTCACATCTATTTTTAGTAACATGGGGTGGCCAATTTAGGCCAATGAAATTACAGTATGTACATATGACATAAATGTGTACATCGGAAAGATCTGACAAGACCAAAAATACCTTTCCGGTTAAAAGAAAAAAAATGGACAAATTACTCACGGAATCTGATTGAATTTGATTGAACTCCCGAATGCATCTGTTCATGTGTTCCGTGCGTGGCTGCCTTGTCGAGTTGAGCTGACATTGGTTCACAACAGGGGCACCGTGTCATGTCTAGTAAACTGATCTCTGGCTGAAGGGTACCGATGATTTTGACATCTTGACGAACAAATGTACATGTACTCCTAAGTTATCAATATATGTACATGTACCCGGTATGTTTTGCTCGGTGTGCCAAAAGTTATGTACATGTCCCTGCTATTCGCATGACTCACATGCCTCTGTTGAACTTTGTGTTGAATGTCAAGAGTGTTGGGTTACACATTAATTATGAAGTCATACACAGTAGCGGTCTTAATGAGAGCCCATTTCAAGCCTGATATACGTAAAGCGGTGTCGTCGCCAGCATTGTTCTCAGAAGTCCTGTGCTTGTCAGACGTACATGTACATGTGCCGGTCTTTGTCAGTTTGTCTTCATCGTATATTTTATTTTAGTACCTTAAAAGTCTACCACCTTAAGTATCACTGGAGGCGTCTATTTATCCGGTGGAGTCATTTCCCTGCCTCTCACCAGTACTTTTCTTGTTGGTGAGTCACCTGGGTGCAGTCTGAGTCTTATGTCTCTTGTGAATCACTCGTTCAAAACATTCTGTTGACCAACACCTCGTTAACCACTTGCTGCCGGGTGGTTTGAAAAATGCAGTGCACATAATGGGGACTTTTCGAAGACTTTCAGTTTTCAATATTCTTCAGAAATTCATCATTTCAATCAATGGATGTTTACACCCTCACGAGTTACTGTCTGGTGGCCACCCTAGCCTGACAGACAAAATCTATTGACGCCTGAGTATTTCAGCCAGGCCTGCAGCCTTGTAAAAAGAGCCCAGATTGTGCGGTGTTATGTAACTTTCTTTTGTTCACGAACCTGGCTCAGTGCGCTGCTGACCTCTTTTCAGTAGGGGCCAGATTAGCGTGCATTGGTGCTGTGTGGCTTATGTCCCTGGTGGTAATCCGCTTGTGCTAAATGCCCCAAACCGTGCTATACTATTGCAAAACAAGGCTGGATTATCTCCACTATTGAGCGTGAAAAAATGTTGGTAATGCCCAGTAGCCTGGTCTTTTGTTTCAAGGCTGAGTTCCCTTTGTCCGATTTTTTTAGACCCTGGCCATGCATGTAAAGCATAAATGTCCGGTACCGGAAACCCCGGTGGCATGTGGTTAAGGTTAAAACTCTGTGCTTCAATATAAGTCTGACTCCAAACAACTTTCCTATTTTTCGTTGGTTCCAGGTACCAGGTACCAGTCGTCCGAGGTGTCCAGCCTGCACAACGGCACCATGGACTCTCACAATGCCAACTTCAGCCCGCTGTCCGTCAACCACTTCGGCATCGCCCAGCTGGCTGACGAGCTCAAGCACTCGGTCGAGCTGGCCCAGGACCAAGGGGAGGCGGGCATCTCGCGGGAGGGCGTGCCCGACAGCACGCGGCAGGTCCTGGTCCAGTGGCTGCAGGGAAATTCCCCCCAGGTGTGTGGAAGAAAAGAGGCACCTGCCAGAATCATAAGTGCCCGGTTACTTTTATCTAAGCCCAAATCTTTGGCCAAATTACTTGGCTACAGCTTGAAAATAGCTTATGATCCTATGAAGGGTAGTGGCTAGCTGCTACAGCTATCTCCCATTGGCTTGTGTATTATTGTTCAGCCATAGCCAAGTAATTCGGATGTAGCCTTTCTCAAAGGCTGTTGCCTTTGGGATAAAGTCCTGCTCGTATCAGAGCACCAAGCCCTCCTAACTCATGCAGTTTACCAAGTATGAATTTCAGGGCATCGTTTTTGCGAAGCTGCTGAATTGAAATTCAATTGATGCTCAGCAGATTATGATCAGCAGATTATGATCAGCAGATTATGCTCAGCAGATTATG